TTTGCAAAATAATAGGTCTAGAAGGACACAGCAAAATGTTAACAGTGGTTGTCAGTAAGTAGTAGAATTATAGGTTATTTTTAAATTATTTCATCTGTTCTTGGTTTCCCCACTTCTAGATTTAACCTTTCCTTAGGACAATTTGGTAAGTACTACTACAGTAACATCATTTTCAGACAGATTTTTGGGCTGTTTTGAAAATGGGTAACAAAAGGGGAAGTGGGAGATAAAAGAAGCAATAATAGCGTTCTTTTCTTTGCTGAGCTACTAAGGCTTCCTGCCCTGGTTTTCTGAAATAACATTTCTCCCCCCACTGACTTCTAGGTCTGTCCCAGTCTTTAACTAATAGGCTATGAGTTTTCAAACCCCGTGGGAATAACCACCTAGAGAAGACACGGTATTGTATATTAAGAGTATCAAGACTGCTCGTTAAATCTTCAAAAAATTATATGAAATCAACTATTAAAAAATTGAAAACAAAACACTATAAAGACAAATGGTCATATTACAGATATTAGGACATGATAGGACAAGCACTAGCTTATTGTCAATTACTCACTTGTGTATCACTGCATAATTATCTAACAAACCTATGATATTTCAAATGACATTTTGTTTTGTTTAAAGGAGGCTCTGTGGGCGCCTGGGTGGCTCAGTCGTTAAGCATCTGCCTTAGGTCATGATCCCAGAGTCCTGAGATCCAGGCCCGCACTGGGCTCCCTACTCAGCAGGAAGCCTGCTTCTTCCTCTCCCACTCCCCCTGCTCGTGTTCCCTCTCTTGCTGTCTCCCTTTGTCAAATAAAAAAATAAAATCTTCAGGAAAAAAAAGCAAAAAAAAAGGAGGCTCTATGCCTAATGCAGGGCTTAAACTCATGACCCCAACATCAAGATCATGTGCTCTACCAACTGAGCCAGCCAGGTTTTAATCTTGAGGATAAATAACAGCAATTTATAACAACACACAGTTTGATTAAACTATAGAAATCAGTGCAGAGCTGATAAATTGGTAATGGTATACTCTAAGGCAGTGTGCCTCGATTTTTAATGTGCATTCGTATCACACCTGACAATCTTGTTCAAGCAGACTGTGATTTAGTTAGGTCTGGTCTGATTCTTGCATTCTTCGCAAGCTCTCAGGTAATGGACCACACCTGTGGTAGCAAGGATCAAAAGGACACACTGGCTGGAGCTAAAAGGACACCACTGGCTGAAGCTAGGTAGGCTCCTCACCATATCTTAATTAGGTAACAGGATCTGGCCCTTTACTCTGAAGAGACTTGCTTGCTTTCATCAAGGCCCTGAGAGATACTGAATCACACTAAAAGGCACATGAAGGCTGACACGTTCATTTTCTAGCAAGAATTGTAACTGTATACAGACGAGAATAGTAGTATCTCTCACTATAGGCACCTCCATGCCTCAAACTAATCCCCCTTTGATAATGTACAAAGAAGGAGTTTCTGGACCTGCAAAGCTTAAGGATTAGGCCCCAGACAATGGCAATATCGTCCAGGTAGTATCACTCTGTGAGGCCCATCTGACTGGCCAGCTGACATCACCATGTGACATCTTGATCAGCTATCACTTACAATGAGTGGGAAAGCCAACCCTGCACAAATAAACAAGGAACAAAAACACAACGGAAGTGAAATCTAAAAATGAAGACACAAGAATTTAGGTTTTTCCTATTTGTTTTGTCTTTAAGAGTAATAGTCCCAACACCCATGAACAAAGGGAAAAGTAAATCTGCGAGAACACTAGTCTATTTCCCTCACCATGGTATTTCTAAGAGCTGGAAGTATCTCTGACCCACCCAGTAAATATTTACTGGGTGAATGAACAAATGAATTTAGGGAGAGTGGGTGTTAATTTCTTCGGTATTTACATCTTAGTACCAAGGATTCCAGGGAACTATAGAGAACTATTCCTAATGATTTCAACATCATTAGGCCAGGTTGGCTGTAAACATTATCTGGTTTCCTGAAGACAACAAGAACATCTCTCTGGCCTTCAACTTATTTAAACAGTAAGAGTTACAGACTACCAGTACATTCCTACACAGCACTTCCTTTTCTGTAAAGACAGAGGGTAGGGCCTAAACTTCACCACAAGAAGAGAAACTGCCACATGCTGGCAGTTCTTTTTGACAGAATAACAACGTATGTTTGTTCTTCTCTCTTCTCGATTTTCATAGACATGGCTTCTTAACATGAGACAAATTTCATCAGAGATTTTTAAAGTGTAAGAAACAAAGGCAAAGACAAAAAGGATCCCAAGGGCTTGAGAGAGTTAAAGAGTTACCATATAACACTCCGATTCCTAAGTATATACTGAAAGAACGGACAGCATATCCACATAAAAAACTTGTAAATGAATGTTCACATCAACATTATTCATAATAGCCAAAAAGTGAAAGTAATCCAAGTGTCTACCAGTTGATTCATGTATAAATAAAATGCGGTATATCCATGCAACAAATATTATTCAGCCATAAAATGGACTGAAGTACTGACACATGCTACCACACGGATGAACCTTGAAAACATGCTAAGTCAGAGAAGCCAGTCACAAGGGGCCACAGGTTGTATGATTCTATTCATACAAAATGTTCAGAACAGGCAAATCCAAATAGAGAAAGTAGTTTAATGGTTGTCAGTATGGGATTTCTTTCTGGGGTGATGAAAATGTTCTGGAATTAGGTAGCAGTGGCAGTCGCACAACTTTGTCAATATACTAAAAAATGCTGAATTGCATATCTTAAGGCATGAATTTTATGGTATGTAAATTATATATCAATTTCAAAAAAAAATCATACACCAAAAGGAAATAAAATTAGCAAGTAAAACATATACACAAAGGGGAGCATGTCTCCTCTCTGCTCATCCTTCTCCCATGCAAAATCTTTCACTAAAAAGCCAAATTTTAGGTAGTTATTCTGAAAATGACTGAAACCCTAAAAATAGCCTAACCACCAAACAAAAGCAGCTGCTTATTTTGATAACATTCTTGTAACACAGACCTTCCTTAGAATCCAAGCTGACAGAGGACTTATTCTACAAACCCAAATATACACAGTCCACTAGAATTAGCTTTGAGGAGAGACACCTTGTACCTGGCACAAAACACAATTCAGTTCACAAAAGAGAACTACACTATTAGTCTAGTCAGAGAGCAATGTCATCAGGGACCTGTGATGGATGTTCTCTTAGTGTTTTCGGCCTCCAGCCTGAGACAGTGGGCCTCAAATGCAAAACAAAAACCCATTCTGAACTACACTAACTTATAGGAAAGTAGGTCCTGTATTTACATTATTGGATATAAAATTTAAAAGAATACAGGCTTGGAAACTGAATTCTAAGCCATTCAGAATGTGATCATTCTAAATGTGTTCAGTGAATCCAAAATTACAGAAGAAATTAATAAGTACTACTCTCAGGTGCTAAGCTCATTCATTTAGTGACAACTTTACTGTTTCTTAGTTGCAGACACAGTTAAGTAAACATCCTGCTCATTTAGAAGATACCTTAACTGGCTGAAACATTAGTCATATAATAAGAGATACTTTAATCTCTTTTGAAACAATGTCCTAGATTTAGAAGCTCTATTTCAAAACAGCAGAAGGAATAAGGCAGAGGTTTTCAAATGGAAGTCAAGATGAATACACTGGAAGGCTATGAAAAGCATTCACCAAACTGCATAACCATATCTACGTTTTGCTCCCAGTTTTGATACTAGACTACAAATAATGCCCAGCCTACAGGAGCTCTACAAGGTTTTCAAAATATAGAAAACCTAGAGCATGCCAAGTATTCTTAATGATGAGGATCTCCAAAGGTACTGTTTTCACAGCACTATTCTACCAGCTGTACATTTTCAGAGTAAGTGCAGTATGGGAGTTACTAGGATGACAACATAGGTTACTATCAAGTGTGGGTGCCTGGCTGGCTCAGTTGGAAGAGCATGCAACTCTTGATCTCCAGGTCATGAATTCCAGCCCTACTGGGTGTAGAGATTACATAAAATCTTAAAAACAACAACAACAACAAAAAACCCACAGGATTAATATTAAGTGTGATACAGAAAAATCCCACTCACTCAAATGATTCTACTCAGATGGAACCCAACTCACTGGAAAAACATCTATGAAGATCCTGTGTTAATAGTTCTTTGAGGATTATCTGTGCTATTACACATTGGCAGTGGGTTGTATCTTTTTTCTGTATATGTTCCAGGGTGTTCCTATGTCTTTGATAACCATGTCCCCACAGAAGAGATAATGCTGTCACTTGAAAGCATAGTTAGCTTTTCCTTTCAGCACTCCTTTCTTTAAATCTTTTTCCATTTCCTTACACTTTTGTACTCCAACCCTCAAGTACTTCAGTTTTCCTTCTTTTGCCCTTCCAACACGGCTCCACCTAAAAAATTCTAAGCCATCTAGAATAGGGTTATGCTAAATTTCTTTTTAATACACTCAAGGTTACATATTAAGTACTACTCTCAGGCATTCATCCCATTCATTTAGTGTTAACTCTACTGCTTCTCAATTAGCTCCCTCTTTAGTCCTCCCCTTCCATATATCCCATTCAGGCTCTCTAAAATCAGTCTTCATCCCCAAGACAGGTTTGCCCAAAGAATGTCCACCTCCCCCAACTCTCCCCAGTCCTCAGTGCCCTCTGTGCCGACGCCTCGGTTTTTGCTCTGCTCCCTCGTCCCCCACAACCTCCGCCCCAATCCCCACGACCGCCTCATACAGTTTAGGGAACGCCCATCACTCTCTCCCTCGATCCCCCAAACTTGTCCCTTCCCCTTAAAACCCCTCACCCCCCCCAACTCGCACCCACCTCCCTAGTTCCCAGACCCTGCTGGGTCTCCTGGCACCCTCAGAGCCTCCGCCCTGGTCCCGCCCTTTGGAGTCCTCCTAGTCCTCCACCCACGCACCCGACCCGCACCCCGCGCCCTCCCCGGGGCCCTCAGCACCCCTCCGGGCGAGGCCCTCCGACCTGCCTCCGCGCCTCCCGCAACCCCTGCAGCCTCTGGCCCAGCTCCCGCCGATAGCTCTGCGCCGCCTCCACGTTCTCCCGGGCCTCCTGCAGCAGCAGCTCGGGCTCCAGCTCCATCGCCCCCTCGTCCGGCCGCACGGCCGGCGGCTGCGGGCGCAGTTCCCCCACAGTCCCCGGCGCCGACAAGCGGCCCGGCTTTACCACGCGCAGGCGGAAGCACCGCCCCGCCCCGCCCCACGGCCGCCTTGATTGACAGCCGCGCCGGCCCCTCGCACCACCTGCCTCCGGGTCCCAGCGCCTCCCTCCCCCGTGACCACGCGGCGGTAGCCGGGTTCCCGCTCCGCGCCCCATCGAAGTGCTTCCTCCAGAGACGCGTGGGGTCAGCGAAAGATTAGTAACTACACCTCGCGGAGTGCTTGTCCCATCTTTTCGCATTTGGGCCTCCCGACCAGCCCCCCCTTGCGTCTCCATTTCACGGAGGAGGAAACGGGCAGAGAGGGAATCAACTTTGTCAAGCCGTCGGTATTTCCACCCAGACGGCTCTTAAAGGGTCATTATCCCACCTCCCCGGCAAAGGAACGTCCCCGCAGCTGCAGGCGTTTTAGAAGGTTACTGTGACCCAGGCACGGTGCTCAGAGGGTCAGATGAGAGCACACCACCCAGAAGCTCGCAGTCTAAGGAGCCAGGAGCATGACCAGCGGTAGGTACAGCAATCCGGGCAGAAGTCCAAGATGGGTGTTAGCAAGCTCGTTCTGTAAGGGGCAAGTAGTAAAACGTGGGAGCGTGGTGAGCCATCCTATCTCGGCTGCAACTCGGGGGTAAATGGGCGTGACCGTGGGCAAATAAAACCTTACAGATTCGGATTTGAACTTCACATAAGTTCCGCGTGTCACAAAATATTCTTTGCATCCTTTTAAAGCTATTTAAAAATAAAAATGTGGGTGCTTGGGTGGCTTAGTCGGTTAAGCAGGGGACTCTTGATTTCGCTCAGGTCATGAGCTCAGGGTGGTGAGATCCACTCCTTGTCTGGCTTGGGCTGAGCTTAGATCCTGCTTAAAGATTCTCTCCCTCTTCCTCTGCTTCCCCCACCTTCCGCCACGTGCCCTCTCTCTCCCTCCCTCTTTAAAAGAACTGAAGAAATCAAATAAAAAATCATTATTCCCTAAGGGGTCATACAAAAATAGGTGATGAGTCTGGGGTGCCTGGGTGGCTCAGAGTCAAAGCGAGCGCTAAGCAAGCGCCAGGCTCTTTAATTCAGCTCGGGTAATGATCTCAGGATTATGAGATGGAGTCCTGCAAGGGGCCTTGAGATCAAGCCCCTTGTAGGCTCCAAGCTCAGCACAGAGTTTGCTTGTCCCTCTCCCTCTGCTCCTCCCCCCACCCACCCACACACATTCTCTCTCAAATAAATAAATAAAAAACATTCATTAAAAATAAAGTAGGGGTTGGCAATAGTAAATTCTCCATAAATATTTCTTCAGTGAAATGAAAATCCGTAGGATAGATGGATGGAGTGGTAAATAAGGAAAAACCATAGGCATTAGTTCATCTATGATATGATAGAGGCTTGAATTAGGATGTTGACCTTTACAGAGGTTTTGAGAGTAAAGCAGGGGACGAGAGTCAAATGGTCCAAGGAAATAGGAGGGTTTCTGCATGGATTGAGTCAGTAAAAAACATTTATTAAATGTTTTTGAACACAGTATGGTCTGTGTGCTTTCTAAAGCTCTTTGAATAGAATTTGATCCCACCCTGGAAGACTTTAGGAAATTTAAAAAAAAGAGAAAGAAAAATTGGGGGCGCCTGGCTGGCTCAGTCAGAGGAGCCTGTGATACTTGACCCCAAGGTCAGGAGTTGGAACCCCATGTTGGGTGTAGAGATTACTTAAACAAACAAACAAACTGGGGCGCCTGGGTGGCTCAATCTGTTAAGCCTCCAGCTCTTGATTTTGTCTTAGGTCAGGATCTCAGGGTCCTGGAATTAAGCTGCACATCAAGCTTCTCGCTTGGTGGGTAATCTTGAGAATCCTCTCCCTTTGCCCCTTTCCTCTCCACCCCCGCCCCAACTCAGGCTTGCACTTTTTCTAAAAATAAAAAAAATCTTTTTAAAAATAAACTTTAAAAAAAATAAAAAGGAAAATTAAAAAGAAAACATCCACAAGGCCAAGACACTAATTTTGGTCTCATTCAAATTTCTTTCCTTGACCTGATTGATGGGAGGCAGGAAATATGTATTTAATATAGCCACATTATACAGAAAAATAATACAAAGAACACTGAAGAAAATCTCGTGAAACCACCCCTCCCGGGCTTAAAATTTGTGGATGTTTTGTTTTCAACTTTGGAACAAAGTAAATACTCTGGTTAGTAACTAGAGGAGGCAATGATGGAAGCCAACTGGTTAGCAGGCAGGGTTGTACACATTTTTATCTCCATCACATCACACTGGTCTAGAATTGACTTTTCAAGTTTACCCAGAGGTGAGCAGATTCAGGGTCACAGACTCCTTGTGCTAATAAGTCTTCCAAGAAACACATAAAACAACTTGCTAAGTTATTTATTTACAATAAGGGTATAATTGCTCTGAAGATTACAACAGTTGGAAAATCAAGTTGTAACCAGAGAGCTATTTGGTAAACAGGGATTTAGTCCAGAATACTTCGGTATCTGGTCAGTCTTCCTCTCCCCTCTCTCCAGCCTTTTCTCAGAAAGCTTCTAGCTGTATTGGGCACATACTGACAATGTTTTTTCTTAGTCTCTTCACTACCCTGTGGGCACACTTAAAGCTATTAACACATTCTTTAGAATCAACAGGCTACAACTAAGTAAGTCATAGTACCTAGTTTTTGAATAGGGACGCAGACAAAGAAATACTACTGTCCAATAAAAAATAATTAAGAGATAATTCTAATGTACATTTTTTTTTTAAGATTTTATTTATTTGTCAGAGAGAGAGCAGGGGGAATGGCAGGCAGAGGGAGAAGCAGGCTCCCCACTGAGCAAGGAGCCCAATGCAGGACTCCATCCCAAGACCCTGGGATCATGACCTGAGCCAAAGGCAGATGCTTAACCAACTGAGCCACAGAGGCATTCCAATTATTTTTATTTTTATTTATTTTTAAGATTTTATTTATTTATTTGACAGAGATCACAAGTAGGCATAGAGGCAGCCAGGGAGAGAGGAGGAAGCAGGCTCCCTGCGGAGCAGAGAGCCCCTTGTGGGGACCCGATCCCAGGATCCTAGGATCATGACCCAAGCCGAAGGCAGAGGCTTTAACCCTCTGAACCACCAGGAGCCCCAGGCATTCCAATTAAGAGATAATTCGAATCTTGACTATAACTCGTAACATTTTAATTAATGCTGTATGTGTTGAATTTTGAGGACTCAAATTTATAGAAATCTCAGACATAAGAAAAATCACAAATACAATACAATTTTTTCCCCCTCAATAAACCATTTGAGAGTAAGTCTGCAGATTCCTTTAGTACATTCTTCTATGAACTCACAATGCGCCATTAAAAACAGGAGTTTAGGGGTGCCTGGGTGGCTCAGTCCTTTAAGCATCTGCCTTCAGTTCAGGTCATGATCCCAGGGTCCTGGAATGGAATCCCATGTCAGGCCCCCTCCTCCATAGGGAGTCTGCTTCTTCTTCTGCCCCTCCCCTCTCGTGTGTGTGTGCGTGTTCTCTCTCTCTCTCTCTCTCTCTCTCTCTCAAATAAATACATAAATAAATAAATCTTTAAAAAAAAAAATTTACCGGGGCACCTGGGTGGCTCAGTGGGTTGAAGCCTCTGCCTTCAACTCAGGTCATGATCTCAGGGTCCTGGGATCGAGCCCCGCATCGGGCTCTCTGCTCAGCAGGAAGCCTGCTTTCCCCCCCTGTCTCTGCCTGCCTCTCTGCCTGCTTGTGATTTCTCTGTGTCAAATAAATAAATAAAAATCTTAAAAAAATAAAAAAAAATAAAAAAAAAATTTACCAGCTCATCTGATCATCTCTATATTAGGGAGAGGACCCCACTAATGCATCTCCCCCATGCTGAAAACCTTCAATTAGCTTTAACAATTTTTAAAAACAGCTTTATTGAGGGAACTGATTTGCAATAAACTGCCAAGTATACAGTCTGATGAGCTTTTTCCTGAGTAGATACCTGTGGAACCATCACCAAGATAAATATTTCCCTCACTTCCCAAAGTTCCCATATAATCCATCCCTCCTACAACCCCTGAACTCAAGTAAGGACTGATATGCTAGATTAGTTTCCATTTTATAAAAAAATGGAATCATACAGTATGTATTCTTTTTTTCATCTGGCTTCTTTTACTCAGTATAAGGATTCTGAGACTCATCCATGTTTCATGTATTAATAGTTCATTTCTTTTTTATTGCTGAGTGGTATTCCATAGTATGGTTGTGTCACAGTCTGTCTTCATTTACCTTTTGATAGGCTGTTCCCAGTTTTTTACTATTACAAATAAAGCTGCTATGACCATTTGTGTACAGATATACACTTCTTTATGATATAACTATATTGGGAAGGTGGGAAGAGAGAAAGTGTGGAGGGTGCTGTTATAAGAGAATTAAGTCCTTAAACAACATAAAAGGACATTAATGAATACTGTTCAAAATTGTTAAATCAAGAAATAGCTGTATAAGCAAATTGCTCTATTTAAAAATAAGAAGATGGGTGCCTGGGTGGCTCAATTGATTAAGCAGTGGCTCTTGATTTCAGCTCTGGTCATGATCTCAGGGTCCTGGGATCAAGCCCCGCATCAGGCTTGCTCTTAGTTGTGGAGTCCACTCGGTTTTCTCTTTCCCTTTCCCTCTGCCTCTCCCTGCTCTCCGCTTGTGCATGAGCACTCTCTCTCTCTCTATCTCTAATAAATAAAAATCCTTTAATAAATGAGATCTTAGGTGCCTGCGTGGCTCAGTGTGTTAAGCCTCTACCGTTGGCTCAGGTTGTAGTCTCAGGGTCCTGAGATCAAGCCCCGCATGGGGAAATTTCTGCTCAGCAGGGAGCCTGCTTCCCCTCTCTCTGCCTGCCTCTCTACCTACTTTTGATCTCTCTCTCTGTGTCCAGTAAATAAATAAAATCTTTTTAAAAATCATTTAAAAAATAAATGAGATATTTATAGTGCTAGAAGAGTTTTGAAAGTGACTGCCTCTGGGAAATTATACTAGGGTA